CCTGGGGGTGGAGGCGGCCCCGCGGTGAGGATGGGTTAGCGCTGTGGCCCAGCCCGCCCTGCTCTGTCCTGTCTTTATTGGCGCTAAAGGTGTGATCACATCCCAAGAGGTACCTGAGTGACACTCACATGAGATGGTACACACACACGCACACACACACATACAGTGAGTCTCCATAACCCTCAGCTCCTGCACCTCCAGGTCTGTTCCTCCACTCACCTCCCCCCTTGCAGGCACAGGACACTGGCACCCCCGGCCTTGAGTTCTCAGGACCCCATTCCCTCATCTGTGACACGGGATGGTGACAGGACCATGGGGAGGAGCACAGGGCAGGTGGTGGGAACTCTGTCCTCTGGACCACACAGCTCCGACCTGGTGTCAAGCTCACTGAGGAGTGAGCTCAGTGCTGCCTGGGGATGTTGCTTCCCACTCTGCACCTCTGCTTCCTCCTGGAGGAGAGGAAAGTGGACGTTAATACAGAACAGAGGTCAGGGGTGCTGTGAGCACCATGTGCCCTGCACGCTCACTGTGCTCGGCTGGGACATGTGAGTCTTCACACAGAGCTCATAGGAGGAGCAGAGGCCACGGTGATGGGAGATGTGACTGGTTTCCTTGTGGGATCATCTGTGGCGACCTGGGATGAGAGGATAAAACATTACAATGTCCAATGGGAAGAACAGACCCAGCATGTTGCACCAGGCAAACTATTTGACAAAGAGAGATGATCTCTCCAGCAATTCCTCTCTCTCCCATTGCTGCCTCACACGCACAAAGCAACACTCACACCCAAGCAATAGGGAACACACAGAGAGAAATGAGCCCCCAATCTCCCAGGGATCCGGAGACAATTGCAGCCCAAGTTAGGATTTCAGGAGGAAACACACATGGTCCTGACATCACCGGGCCAGTGTAGCTCAGTGGTTGGGCATCCACCCATGCACCAAGGGACGGCCAGTTCCATTCCCAGTCGGGCACATGCCTGGGTTGCAGCTCAGTCCCCAGTGGGGTGTGTTACGGAGGCAGCAGATGTGTCTCATCAATGTTTCTATCTCTCTCTCTCCCTCTGCTTCTGCTCTCTTTAAAAATCAATGAAACATATATTTTTAAGTCGTCTTTATATCATGTTATTATACCACAGACGACGATTCTGGGTGAATATCTGTCTGTGCCTGTGTGTGTGTGAATGGACCTTATTTTATGTCAGAATTTTAAAGTAATCACCCTAATTCTACACATCAATTTTACTATGGTTTTCACACCCAAGCCTCAAGCTCGTGAGGTCTGAGAAGATAAGCAGACCCCTGTGCACATGGCTGAGCAGCTCAGTGGCCCTGGCCGTCCTACCCTTGGCTCAGATCCCAAAGGGAGCCCCGTGCTCGGGTCCCTCACTGTCGGGAACTCAAGGACACAGAGAGGTGCATGAAGCCCAGCATTGGTGGGAATCCCACCCTGGGACACCCCCCCCAGTACATGCCCCCCCCCCTCAGCCCAGCAGAGCCAGCAGAAGCAGCTCAGACACAGGGGGGGGGGGGCAGCGCCTGTCCTGCCCCATGGGACGATCCACCCCAGTTCCATGTCCCCTCCTGGAACCACCCTCCTCCCCTGATTTCTGCCCTGAGGTTGGACATAAGGAAGATCTCACCTGGCTGGTCTTTGCTCTTGAGCTCTGGGCAGGGATGTGTCATTGAGGACAAGCCGGGGGCCCTGAGCCTACAGTTGTAGGGACAGGGTTCCTGGACCAGATCTTCCCACAGAGATGCCATTATCATGTCACCTGAGGCATAGGGGACACTGTCTGCGTGGAGAGCCTGGGACATCTCCAAAGAGGAGCGACTTTATCCCCACTCAAATCTCTCCAAGCCACTGCCGTGATTATTGGTAATTTGACCATTAACTTGTCCAATACAGAAGGGAAACCCCGGGGAGAAGGGGAGTTCCCAACACTCCTGAGTGGGCCTGAGTGTGAGTCACTGAGTGAGCTGAAGGACTCCTCCCTGTCCTGACCAGCAGAGGGCATTCTGACACGGATCCCATTGTGTGGGAAGCCAGCCCATGGATTCCTGCGCCCCCACCGGGTTTGTGGGATAATCTCCTATGTCTGGTACATCTAGACCTTCCTTCCTGAGGGCTGTCCTCCTGGTCCACATGAGCAGCTGAATGATGGGCAGGAAAAGGTGTCTGTTCCCTGTGGACAGGTCTACATTCCGAGTCAAAGCTGTTCTCTGAGCTGAACTGAAAGCCAAGGCTGCATCCCATTCCTCCTCCTCCACTCATTGCACAATCACACACGATCCCCAAGTGGTTACTGTCCTCACGGCTCCCCTGGCCCCAAGGTCAGGCTGACACCAGGATGGGCGCAGGCTGAGCATCTGCACTGGGGCAGGAGGCTGGTCTCTCTCCTCAGGGAAATGCCACGGTCCTTCCTATGGGGGCCCCAGGGATGTTAAGCATGGAGACTGTCCCAGGTGAGCTGTGCCCACCTGCTCAGAATCCTGGGAGTCCCTAATGTCTACACGACCCTACAGGACACCATGAGGTGCTTCCTTAGTCACCCACACAGTCCTGCTCTTTGGTGACTCACTACACAACCGACTCTTCTTCCTCTTCTTCCTCTTCCTCTTCTTCCTCCACTTCTGCTTCTGCTTCTGTTTTTGAGATTTTACCCTGGAAAGAATTATTCTTGACATGCAGACAGGATTCAGGGAAAGTAAGAATTAGGACAGACAGAGAGATACCTTCAGAATCTAAAATTTAGAAAGAACCAGAACATATAGGAAATTGGGTGAAATTACAAAGATAGAATTTTAAAAATAGATGAAAAGATGAAGGATCACATGCCCAGAGAGACGTGGACAAATCCCATGGATATAGTGGATTTTCACAGGGGTGAAGGTGGGAACAACAACACTCACAGAACATTCCAGTCCTCAGTGGACCCATTCAATTCTATTTGGTCACACACTGCCCCCCATCCCGACTCACTCCTGACTAGATTGTCAAACCACGGGTGAGTTCTGTCAGCTTTTGAGGGAAGGAATGTTACAGTGGCCTCCTCCCTGTACCGGGCTCTGTCTCCACATTGTGTCCCATTCTCCTTCCCATGGGTCTTGTGGTTGTAGCGTTTTCACTCTCAGGGCTACAAGGGTTCAAGTCTATGAACACACCACACTCCTTCTCCTCCACAGCTCATGAGAATTTGTCTTATATGCAGATTCTGTAAACTGTGCAGCTATGAATAAGTTCTTCATATGTTTTTGCACACATTTGTGTGAATGTCTATTGGGGATACAACCAGGAGTGGAAATGCTGGGGCATTGGGTGAGTGAATGATTGGGTGTAGTGAGAGCAACCAAGCCATTTTCAAAGTATTTGAAACAACTTACTCTACCACTAGGTATTTATGAGAGATACAATGAGTGCAAATTCCTGCTAAAAATTGACTTTGCCTGACTCTTTCATTTTTGCTATCCTGGGAGGTGGGCAGCAATATCACATTGTGGCTGAACTTCTGACTAAATTTGTTGGTCAATGTATGGACCATGTAAACACTCTCAATAGGAGGATGGACTGGACACATTGTTCATGAGTGAGTGGGCTCTAGTAAGGTGCCAGCATCTATAACTATTGGGACCCTTTGGCTATTAATGGATCTGTGGGCAGAGACCTGTGGGATGAGAGAAAGTGCCTGGTCTCTGCCCCTGGCTCCTGGCACTGAGCTCCTAGAACCCTGGGAATCTCCTGAGTGACAAGTGTCTTTGGGACACTGATGAGATGGCTCTTGGTGAGGGTCCTGGAGGATTCAGGGTAGGGGCTGGTCCCCAGAAAGACCAAGCTATCAGAGGGTTGGAATGTTCAGGTCCTAGAAGGAGGCAAGAGTATGAGGAGCCTCAAAATGCATCTCTCCAACCACAAAGTCCTGTGTGCAGGGAACCTTAGGCCTGTGGGACAATGATGGGTAACATGTACCCTGTTGCTGTCAGATGGGGGACACCGAGAAAATGAGACCATAACTCACACATGAAAACAGTAACAGGCATAATATCTACGAAAACAATGAAACAACAAAAACCCAGGCCTGAGCTCAGGCTGACCAACATCAGGAAGGACTCGCTGTCCATGGTCCTGGAGATGTGCTGCATTAGGACACGTGACAAGGCCTCAGTGATGTCTGAGTTCCAGTGACCACAGGTCCTGGTGGAACAAGGTTCTACTGAGGGAAAAGGTCAGAGGAGCAGAGAGGTGACCCCGCAGAGGAGTGGCCACGTCAAAGCCCACGATGCACTGAGCACCACCTGGGCACAGGCCCCGACCACACTCGGTCTTCAAAACATCTCCTGTCCACACCTGGGACAGCTCAGCACAGCAAACACATGAGTTCTGGAAAGTTCTTGGTGTTTATATTTATTTACCCTCAAAATGTAGAATCTTCTCCTTGAATTTACCCACCAACCCTTTATGGCAAGAAATGAACAAAGTCACCTCCACAACCTCATTTCAATGTGGAAGGAACAGCTTGCAGCTCAGAATACAAGGAAGTAAAGACAGCGATAGTGAGGGCCCAGCCCGCCTCTGCTGGACCAGAAAGTGTGGGGAGCAGGGCGGGGCCAGCCCCAATCAGAGGTTCTTGAGTCAGGAAGTGGGAGCGTGAACACATTTTCCATCTCTCAGTCCCCACAAGGCAGCTGCCTCACGCTGTGGAGGACAAGCATCATGAACACATTCAGGTCAGTGGCTGTAACTGGTGACATTCTCAAAGCCCACTTCATGCTCACAGTGTCCCACAGACTCCCCACCACCCAGTCCTCTCCTCTGCCCACCCCTCCCCTCTGTAGGGTCTCACCTTTTGAAGCTGAGAGAGACACATCAGAGCCCTGGGCGCTGTCACTGCCTAGAGTGCACACTCAGGCCCCACCCCTTCACCACCTAATCGCCTCCTCCCCCACATCACAGCTCCAGCCACAGCTCCCAGCAGAACCAGGCCCCCAGCAATGCCCATGATGATGATGAAGATGAAGGTCTGAGAAGGCGGCTCTGGGGGGAGAAGGGGTGGGAGGTTGAGGGCGCTGACCCGAGGCCTCAGCCCCCACCCCACTGAGGTTCCCCAGAGCCCCTGCTGCCCTGAGAAGAGGCTCTGTGCCCACGGCCCCTATTCACCCCATCTCAGGGTCAGGGGCTCGGGCAGCCCCTCGTGCTTCACATGGCACGTGTATCTCTGCACCCCCACGGCCGCCCACTTCTGGAAGGTCCCGTCCCCCGCAGGCCTGGTCTCCACCAGCTCCATGTCCTGGGTCTGGTCCTCCCCGTCACGCTGCCAGGTCAGGCTGATGTCCGCAGGGTAGAAGCCCAGTGCCCAGCACCTCAGGGTGACCTCACGGGCAGAGACGGGGTGGTGGGTCACGTGTGCCTTTGGAGGGTCTGGGGGGAGGGGAGAAAATGCAGGAACTTTGCATCCGCCATGGGACACTCCAGCAGTGCCCATGTGACCATCCTGAGAATTGACAGACACCTGGGGTGGGAGAGGGAGCCACAGCCCACACACCAGCCTGCACAGATGCACCTGGAAGGCCCTCCTAGTCTTTAGAAAGTTTTAGAATCAGAGAGACACAGCCCAGGGCAGGAGGCAGGTCTCTGAGGGAGAAAAGGGATTTGTGGTCCTGACTTGGGTGGAGGCCACGTGACTCAGAAAAGCTGGGGTGAGGCCTCAGACACAGTGGGTGTGGGCAGCACACAAGGCCTGAGAGAGACTGTCCCTGTGGGTCCCAGAGCCCCTGCAGGGTCCATGGGAACCGCTGATGGGTTATTTCAGGGGGGTCTCCCTGCACCCCAGGAGAGCCTGCACTCCTAACTGTCCCTAAGAGGAGGGGGGTCCCTCTGGTACCTGACCTGACATCCAGGGGGGCTCCCTCCTTGACCCAAGGAGGGGTGTCTGCACTGACCCCCTGTCCTGTCTTTTTGTAGGAGCCGCAGCCCCGGGGAGAGGGGGCGGCCCCAGGGCCCCTGGTACCTGCGCGCTGCAGGGTCTCCTTCCCTTTGTCCAGGTAAATGCGGAGCCACTCTATGCAGGTGCCCTCCAGGTAGCTCCTCATACACTGTGCCTCACCGGCCGCCTCCCACTTGCGCTGGGTGATCTGAGCCACCATGTCGGCCGCGGTCCAGGAGGTCAGGTTCTCGTTCAGGGCGATGTAGTCGGCGCCGTCGTAGGCGTCTTGTCTGTACCCGCGGAGGAGGCGGCCGTCGGGTCCCATCTCGCAGCCAATAATCCTCTGAATGGTGTGAGACCCTGACCCCGCCCGGCAGTCAGCCCCGCCCCGTCCGCCCCGCCCTCCCCGCAGGGCCTGGATC